ATACTGTGAATCCAGACTTTGTAGGTTAATGTAAAACAATCATCAATACTGGGATGATGCATTAAGGCAAAACATCTTTCACAGGAAAGGTCACAAAAACTAAACTGATCACTGCTGCTTCTTGACTAAACCCAATGTATTTAAACTGGAATAAAAAAAGGTGCCAGTACTCTGAACCTGCACTGCATCCGGCTATTAACATATGCTGGAAAGACTACAGTACATCCCCATGTGAAATCTATTTCTGTATGAAAATATGTGTAAATTTACGAGAAACATGACTGTTTCTGAAATGACGAAATAGTCAATTTCCTTCTAAGTTGGACTTTAATGTTCAACATATGGTTTTAGGAATAGTTGTATGATTATGTGCTGTCTTTCTGAAAGTGTAATGAGCAGATTGATATCAGTCATATTTGTAACTTAACTACAGAGCCAGATGGTGATTAGCCTAGCTTAGCAAAAAGACTGAAAGCAGGGGTAAAGGCCTAGCGTGGTTCTTTCCAAAGTTCAAAAATACGCCTAAAGCTATCTATTTAATCTATTTAATCAGTGCACAATCTGTTATTTAAAAAAGATGGTGTATGGTTTTAGGTGGAGCTACATGCTGGAACCATTTCTTTAAGAACATCTCATCATTCGGCCAGCACTTCTATGCTAAGATAAGTTATGATAAGATGTTCCTTTATTGATCCTACAGGGGGATAGGAGAAATTCAAGTCAGACACAGCAGCATAGGGGAATGTAGTGCAAAAAGTACGGAAGTGTAAACAATATAAAATTGTCAAAGGACTGAAGAGGAATTACATTGAAAGACAGCTACTAAATTCTGGGCTGTTTGTGGAGAAACCACCTATTGCCTCAGTGACATCTGCAACTAGTAACTGAAGTTAGCAACAGGGAAATCACAGCAGCAGCTGTATTCAAGCGTCCCCAGAGACACGTTATTCCTGTTTTAGCTTCTTTTTCCCTTTCTGTTATTTGGTACATTTTATCAAGGACAATGTTTGGCACTGTTTTTGCTTTGGCTTTGATAAGGTTTTAGTCAGAGCCTTATGTATATGCATGTGCATCTGCATTCCCCAGGGAGGTAGCAGCAGTCATGTGGCCAGTAGTGATTTGTGCCAATACTTGAGAGGGCAAAAAGTTGTCTAACCTGTTCTGCAGCATGTTAACCGGAGCGACAGTCTATTGTGTACAGGCTAAACCTGAGTGTGGTTTTGTGTTTATTCCCATTGATTGCATTATTGGAACTTCAGGGGGCCTTTTCCAGCATGTAGTTGGAGAGTTGCAGGACAGTGTGGAGAATGAGGACAAATTCATATCAAAGCTGGACGTTCACCATTTCTGCTCCACTGCTGCTGGGGAGCCAGCATCAAAAGGACAGCAAGCAAAGAGCTCTTTGAAACGGAGCGACACTAGAGCCCCTCTCTGGACGGCTGCCATGCCGCACTGATGGCGTGTGTGTGTGTGTGTGTGTGTCTGTGTGTGTTTTGAGAAATCTTTTGTACGAAATGAAAAAGAGAGGGGGGAGAGAAAGGAGGCGATCTGAAGGGGGAGAGACCTTATGTAACGTGAATAGCTCGAGCAAACTGAAGCCAACAACTTTACTACACTCTTTTCAAGCAGGGCTGAGTACTTGGGGTATTTCTCAACCGTTTACCT